TCTAGGAAGGTTTCTTACTTCATGCTTTAGCCTTATATGGAGTTCATTGCCATTTTTGGACCTAAAAAGTGTGTGTGCGGCTACACATGGTGTGTGCGGCTACACATGGTGTGTGCGGCCGCACACCCTTTATGAAGATGATAAAATCGTGTTTTTCTAGTATATCATCAAGTGTTCTTAGCATATAACAAGTTGTGATAAGTGTATACACGTTATAGAGGCTTGAAAGGGTGTTTAAGGTCCAAAACTAGTGTGTGTTCTTGGTGTTCTTGGTGTACTTGACTAAAGATGGATGTTTTCATGGATCAAAGCAAAGGGTTTTGCTAGTCAGGGTCGTGTATCAACAAATCAAAAGGAAGAATTACTTACTTTTATGAAGATCAAGATGAAGATTTGGATGATACTTGAGGTGATTTCGGGTTCTAGTCTTGAAGAAGTGGAAAAAGTGTTCAAAATGACTAAGTGTTGAATATATAGGTGAGAGTGTGTGGTTGGGATGGGTGTGTGGCCGCACACACCTTGTGTTGGTGTTTTTGGCTCATTTGCAAGGTGTTACACTCACAAAAACTCATCCCACGACTCATACCTTGATTATACTAGGTTTTAAACACTCTAATTGACTCTAAATAGTGCTAGAAGATAGCAAAAATGAGTCTGACCTTCATTGTTTTGAATAAGTGTATAAGATAAAAATTTCGGATTGTCACAGGATGTTTCTTTTATTATGTAGTAAAAACATGTTAGGATGTTTGCTTTTAAATATTCTATGTCGGAATTGTTATGTAATGTATGACACTCACTTTGGTTATTAATATATTATCTTGTGGGATCCAGTATCCTTTATGTCTTTTTTATGCATTAGATGGTCCCTTGTTTCTTGTCCCTTTTGGAATTGTTATGTGGACCATGCTACTTAAAAATTTGTTTGAGTTAGTTGAACGTCTTATTCTTATGAGTGGCCTATGTGAATATGAGCCTGGAGCAAGGATTCCTGAAAGTGAATTCCAGTGTAAGCCTGATATGAAAGTGGAGTGTGGACCATATAACAACTCATGCATGATATGATATAATTAATGGACTATATAACTTGTATTCTTTGGGGACCATATAACAATTCATGCACTATAACAATTCATGCAGGATACTGTCAAGGAAACCATAAAGAAATGTTAAAATAGAATAGAATCCATGCTTTCTATTATAAATTAAGTCCATACAAAAGGTGTTACATGAACATACGTAATGGGGCTAAAGTACATTGCCTATACTAAATTGTCAAAAGGATCATCATTTCATATACCACCATTACACCATCAAACAACACTGTACACCCTGCATCACTTACAAGAGCTTTAACTTGATTTCCAAATACCTAATCACCCAAAAGACCATCCCCATATCCACCATGTTCCAAAAAGCACCTATACACCATGACCCGACATCTTACATCACCAACTACAACTTAAAGTACATGACCACAAACAACAAGTAGACTAGAGCAATCAAAACAACCTTTTTTAACATCTTCTTCAACCTTTCAATCTCAATGAGTAGTTCTTGGATCCTAGCTTCAGCAAGTTCCTTCTCAGCTTTCCTAAGAAGCTTGTGCTTCTCCACCTTCTTCTGCAGCTCAACAACTTGACCATTCCTAACCAAAAGGTCGTCGATCCTAAGTTTCATGTTCCATAACGTATCCTTGTAGTGTTTTGGTAATGCTAGGTCAAGCCACTGGAAGAAGTTGCAAATGTCGTTGGATATCTACAAAAAAAAAAGCCACACCACAGAAAAAGGGTTTTACTGTTCAAAATTTAGGGTTTTCTCGTTGTAAATGGGGTTTTTGTCGATCAAAATAGGGGGTTTACAGTAAAAAAATCAAAACTTTAGGTTTAAAACTTATCATTTGTAACGAAGGATACGTTACCATTGATTTTGCGCAATTGTAAAAGCGACGAGCTGGGTTGTTAGGCTTCCAAGCTTCTCTGAGCTTTGACACAAGCTAATCGCGACACAAGCAGGGAGGATTCATTTCAATAAGGTAAATGGCGACGATGTTATAGGATTCGGAGGAGGAAGACATGGTCGAAAGGGTTCGTGTTCGTCGGAGGGTAAGGAAATAGTAAATTTTGTTCTATTGAACCCTTACGAAGATAATATAGTAAGCTGACTGGACACCAACTGGATATTACTGACCACGTCACATTTGACTTTCGTTGACCAACCAGGGTAACCGGTAAAAATATGGAGAAAACCTTAATTTGGCAGATAATTTGTTACTTTAGTCGGTTCAGAGGTACGAAATTAATTGAAGGACCTTTTAAAACAAAACAGAAAACATCATTGTGCTTCTATGTCAATAACCCTTTACATTATAGCTTTAACTTGTTGTCTTTGTTCTATGTGTTTGTGTATTAGTGGTCCGAGGGAGCCTTGTAGGATTAACATTTGTAGCTGTAAAAAATTCGTAACAACTTTATGCAATTAAACATGACCGGTTATGAGGAATTAAATATCTTTAAAGACCCAGAACGAATCAGAAAAAAAGGCCTTTATCATTATTATAAATTTTTATTTTTAAATAAAAATATATATTAAAAAAATTTGACCCTGTGCAGCTGTCTACTTTGTCCCCTTATAATTAAATATTATTAATATGAGAACTCTCAAAATTCATAACTTTATATAATTAATCATATATAACTCATGCAAACTACACGTAAGTTATAATAATGATAAATATAACAACTTTATACAAAATCACCATTCAGCTGTAGCAAAATCATATAAACTATGAAATGAAACAATATTGTGTTGTGAAATTTACTAATTTATAATTAAATATTTTATAAGAAACTAAAATTTTTTCATACAATGTAAAATTAATAAAGATATTCATTAACTTTGTTCATCTACAAACTCAATTTAAGAAAAAAAAAAATAAAAAAACAGGATCTTTGAATTTTTTTTAGTACTATAGTGTTTTCTTGTTCTTTTATAAGCTATATAACAGTTAGCTTACAGTTTACATGCAATGAAATTTTAAGTAAAAAAATAAATAAATACGTAAAAAATATACCAAAATGCATATATAAAAATGCGTAAAAATACCATTCCTAACATCTATGATTTTCTAACGCGGACTTAGAATGTACAAATGTGTAATGAATAAGGTTATACATTAAACATTTGTACAACCTTACTTATGTAAAAATGAGAATAAGTGAGATTACACAAATGTTTAATGTATAATCCTATGAATTAGATACTTCTACGATCTTACCTGAGGAGAGGAAATGACATATGAGATGGAAAAGATGAAATCACAAATGTGGTCAAATTAAGAAAACCGTAAATGGTTAGATGTTATATACAATTCCGTCATATTAATATGATAAATTTCGAAAAATAAATTAAATTTTTGATGAAATTGCAAGTCTAACCAAAAATCACAGTCCAAATGGCAAAATCATGGACCATGAAGGTTCACCTACGATTTCGATGCTTATACAAGCCATTTCTTAATATTTTGGTTATTTCCTAAGATTTTTTAAATAAAATTGATTAAATTTGTCTTTTTATCTCATAAACCTATCTTCTTTTACTTTACAATACAAAAAAAAGTTATTGACGTAGCATATTACTTAATTTTTTCAAAAAAAAAAAAACTAATTTTTTTTTGTTGTAAATAGTAATTAAACATCTTAAAGACAATGGCGGAACTAGATGGAGCGTTGGAGGTACTACAATACCCCCAAAAAATTGTTTTATATATATAAAAAAATATATATTTATAAGCAAGTTTCATATTATTGTATCCACAACTAAAAAGATTATAAATGTTTTCTAATGTCCGATATTGGATAACCACATATAATATATTGAGAATGTCTGTATCCATATTAAAATTCTTGATTCCACCACTGCCCAAAAGTCATTGGGTCGGACTTCGGAGTACCGAGTACGACTGCTTATTAATTATTGCACATGCATTGTAAATTTAACGTAGTTGGTTGTTTATTTTTAACATAGTTTTAATTATAACCTTTTTAAGTGCAAAGTTGGAAGGATTATACCTATAAAAGGGAAGAAGAGGTTTTCTCTAAAGACAGTTGATCAGATCCCACTTCTTTTAGAGGAAATGGGAACGAAAGGGGATACGTCTTTGATGCCAACCCATTTAATCTCTCTTGCGGTGGTTATTGTTTCTTTAAGCTTTACTTCATCCACCGACGCCACCTACCCTTACTCATCTCTACCACCTCCACCTAAGAAATCCTCACCGTCATTAACTAAGCATCATTATGTTTACAAGTCACCACCTCATCCTCGGTTTCAAAAGTCTCCTCCACCACCACCACCACATAAACCATATGAAAACAAGTCACCAGATCCACCACACATACTTCCGAATCCGCCTAAAACAAAGCCACCACCACCACGTACACCCGTGCACAACTCTTCACCACCACCACCACCACCGGTTCACAAGTCCCTACGACCTCCTACACCTAAAAAACCTTACGTGTAATTGTCCCCACAACAATTATCTCCTCCATCGCTTGTGAAAAAGTACCCACCAACACATTACATGCATCTACGTAGGACAAAAAGGGTTTACAGTTGTACGGAAAAGTTATTGTATTCTGATCATACGTGTATTCACAAAAGAAATCAGTATAACAAAAAGTTGTTTCAGTTTTTCATCGTAAGGAAAAGACAAAATTACATAAATGATAACTATTGTTTGGTATAATCAGTTATATTGGTCAAACAACATTTTGTTACAAATCCAGTCCCTGTGGTATGTATTAATTACAGCACCAATCCCTCTGTCGTTAAGTCTCACTATATATAGAGACGTTAACTGCATGTAAAATGAGAGTTTTTTTTGTTGTAAAAGTCGTTAGGCGGGAGTGAGGCGATCGATTAGGTTCAAGCGTCTAATCAGTCTAAGTGTGGATTAACCGGCAGTTAGGCAGAAACCCTTAATTGTATTAAAATTTATTTTTTAATTTTAAAAAATATTACATATATTCTAACAAAAGTAACAAATATGACAATTTTTTATAATTATTTATTTATTTTGATATAATATATACAATTTATTCAAAAATTATTATATTTTAAAAAATAAACATTTGAAAATTTTAAATATTAATATTTTGAAAATTTAGGATTTTTACTTGAAATTTAAAACATTTGACATTTAAAATTTGTACACTTTTTGAATAATATTTGAAAATTTGAAAAAATTAAAAATTTTGTTGCCTTGCTCCATCTAGGCCTGCTTAGACCCATGTTGACCATAGTTGACTGACTCCACCTAATATGACCATCTAATAAAAATCATAGATTCTTGTTGTCCGCCTAGCACCTAATTAAGCGGCTGTCTAGCTCGCCATTTACAACATTGTTTATTTTTTCTTATATATTTTATCTAAGTATTTCCTTATTTACATGAACTATTTACATAGTTATGTGTATTTTATATTAATTATATACATAATAAATAAAATTAAAATCATATATATATATA